TTGATTTGCTTATTTTAAATCAATCTCTATAGATAAGAGCCCTCAGCCATTCGAAAAGTTTAATTCTTTTTAATATTAATTTGTATCATCCTCGCCTTTTAGCTTGCCTCGCCAATTCGACAAAAAGCTTTCATTAGCTACGCTTTCAGGCCAGATCCCATACCGACCAACTGGCCGCCAGTCTTCGGCTATCTCACTTCACACGCCCTGCTATCCACCAGTATCTTGCTCAATTTCTGCCTCCACTGCTACAGGAAGTGGTGTGCTTTACCCAAGCCGTCAAGGACGCAGCCTATCACGACCCTCATTACTTCTACTTGGGTCTGGTGCAGCTGGATCCTTGGGAGAGTCAGCTCTTGGAAACAGTCATATTTGCAATGGCTATGCGGAATCTGGACACGGGGTCCTCACGAGTCGCAGCGGTTCGGTTCAGGGCAGTGTGGGCGCTGCCTCATCTGTTTCCCTACTCTGGCTCGGTACCTCTAGAGCTAGTCGGCGTCCTAGGTCTGGAACCCCAAGGGCACTACGTCGAGGACCAGTGACTCCAGCAGGAGCGTCTGTTACACCCGGCTTTGCTGGCTTTTGGGGTCGCCGAACACCTGGATACGCTTCTACGCTCACTTGGTTGGCTGATTCAGTGACTCAGGTAGTACATTAGCATCAATTTTTTCTCTTTTTAAATTGTACTCAAACTCCTTGAGTATTATCAATAAATTAATTACGGATAAGCTTGATCGATATAAATTAAATATAATTTTATCAGGCCACGAATGTACCCACTTGTTACCACCTGCAGGTCCACTCTTCTTAAGGCAGCCTTCCTTTATATCGCATTGGATACTAAGCTGAATTATTGTCTTCTTAAATCATATTAATGCACACAACTCGCTATCTCGATCTTAATCATTGCTTTGCCTCTGTTAACTAAGTAAATTTATTCTATGCACTATTGAATATATGGTTCAAAATACTCCTCAATCCAGGAAGAAATATCAGCACTTATCAATGGTACTCAGTAAGTACATAAATTCGTTTCTAATTTTGAGCATAGATTTTAAGACCCGGATGATATGAACTTTGATATATTCTTCTTAGATTACCTGTCTTAAATAACTTTGCCACGATGGTAACTCTTTACGACTGTGCCCTTTTATATTAATCTCCTATTTTACTTTTCATCTACTAGCTTTTATAAAGCAATCTTTTCTGCCAAATATTGCTTGATTGAAAAGCTATAGGCTTATTACCATTATTTCAGCCCCTCAATCACTTTTAATTTTTTCTCAACATTTTTTTCCTTTAACCCTATTTTTTAAATGCTCGTATTGTCTCTTTTCTTCGTGAATCCCTTATTTGTGGAGAATTACGATATGAATTAACACTAAATTTAATCTATTAACGTTCCAATAAACTAAAATGCATTCATTCGCATACAGAGTCATCACATAGGAACATAATGTAATGCATTTTTAAGCCTGAAATATTAAAGATGGGTAATTTATCGAAATAACCAAGCATGGCGGTGCAGTAATTTCACAGACTTAAGTTATTGCTTTTGAGAACGGCCTTTTAGCAATTCAACCCTCAGTTGTGGAATGCCATTTAAGATAGCGCCGATGTAGATAAATATCATAATTATGGCATGGTATGAGTAGAATATATGGCTTCAAGCCATATAATAGATTGTTATTGGGAGTTGGTGACCAAGCCTAAATAAACATTAATTTAGTTAATCTTACTTGTGCATTTGATTACCCAAAGAGGGACAACAAATTACATTTATCCACCGCTTTTACTAAAAATATGATCAGCTGACTCAGTACCAAAAAATATTTAATATATTATGTGGAACTTGTATTAAATATGGCATGCCAAAAGCGCTTTGGGCTCATTTAAATATTAGGCATATGGGGATATTGCAATTTTACTGATTAGCTCTACCTCTGTTTACATTAGCTTCACTTAAGCCACATGCTAAGTTTACTCTGATGAATTGGATAATATTGATAATAACTTGTCTTTATCATACTTGACTGAAGTAGAATTATAAAAATATATTTGTCTGCTTAAATCTATCTATTCTGTTCGATTATATTTTGCATCTCTTATATTCATTTACAATTCTATTCAGTGGTGTATGAAAAATGGACATATGTATTTATTTATAGGTGTTTTATTTTCCTTTTTTATCTCTTTCGAAATCTTATTTTTATTTATATCTTTTACTACAGGTTGCCGTCGGTAGCGTCCCCTCTTTTGATAATTCAACAGAACCGAACAGTCCTCAACTAAAGCCTACTCAGAAAAACCTCCTTGCTGACTATACTTGTGCTGAAGCCGTAAACTCAAATCACAGATTATTACAACCTTCCACCTCATCTGCTTGCGGTTCAGTATCACCCTCATTACCCGCTTCATCTGCTCATGGTCCAACTATCCAACCACCTGCTATTGCCTATCCCCTCGTTTCACTTCACCTTGAATCACTTCCCCAATCGTTAAACCTTCATGCACGGGCCACCTCGGCCTCCACCACTAAGTGGGACTTTCTTTCTGATAACTCAACAATTAATGCTCGTGCTGCGGGAGTTAATGCCAAATTTATGGAGACGAATTCATTCCAAATTCCTGATGATGATATTTTCGATGGTGTGGTTGGAATGACCGATGATAAAGCACTCCATCGAAATTGTTATAGATCTGGCAAAGAAAATCAAAGCGAATCGAGAGCTGAAGTTGCCAATGGGATTGGCCTTGGTCATGGGGCTACCTGTGCGTCTATTGCTCTACCTGCATGTGCTCTTCTACCGGATTCACACTTGGCTGTACCGCCGAGCTCCACAAATCATTTGTTGTTACGCAATGCGGTGAGTTGTGGATTTAAAGTTAACTACTACGGAACTATTAAATTTTATTATGGATATAGGAATTAAGCTTTCATTTGACTAATTAAGAAAGTGAGAGGATATTATAGCCTAATCATCTGCACCTTTTGGGCAATAATAGTGTGCCATGCGCACATTAATCTATCTTCTTTTGCATTTTTATAATTGTCTATCTATTTAGACTTGGAAGTCGGGTAATCCGTAACAGTGGGTCAAGTTCAAAGATTATAGTTATACTTTTATTCAATTTCAACAGTTATTTCACCAGTAGTCGTAATATGTTTGAATGCATATACATGTTCGAAATTTGATGAAGAAAGAAGGAATCATTGTTGATCTATTAAAAAAGTCATCTGTCCTGCATACGATCTCAACTACACCACACTGCCACTAGTAGACTCTGGACAGATGGGGATTTTAATGAAGGACAGGCATTTTTTCCTATTAATTTTCTGGTGAGGTTGTCGATGAAGCAAAGTTGTATTTGGTACACCTTACTACTCATATCATTATTGGAAAATTCAGTTACTTGTCCTTCATCACCTAAACGTAATAGGTTGAATACATCTTTTATATCTGGTCTACTGGTAGTCTCGAGAATCTCCTTATAAACGACAAACCAGTAATGTAGTCTATTGCTATTGAAAACGCAACTTTGTTTAATCGAAAATGCCACCACAGAAGGTTATTTAGGAAAAGGTTCGTGTTTCGCTGGTGGTGCTGATGAGACCAGTTCAGGCGAGTTCGAAACTTCATCCAATCATGGATAAGAATACATTTTGGGAAGCAAGACTAGTTAAAATTCAATAAAAACGTACAGCCTATTCATATCCTATCGACAAAATTCAACTTCCAGTTTTTTAACCCCTTAGTGAAATAGAGTGAATACATCTTACAAATTGCAATGTTTATAGACTACCCAAACTCTTTCTTTACTTAAAACAAAGTGATACCGCTTCTATTTTATCTGCATGGTCAAATTCAACATTTATTCGCAGAAACTTAGTTCTTTTTCCCTTCGTTACCTATCACTATATTTTGAGGGAGATGCTTTTTATAGATCAAATATTGTCTATCCAAGATTTTATATGGTTGTTTGCTAGTTTGTTAATAACGTCGCTATATACTAATAAGAACAAATAGGTTTCGTAATTATCAGTAAATCTTGAATAATAATAGTATTCACACCTCTTCACATTAGGTAATGAATTCTATTCCCCACAACAATATGAATAGACCTATGTTTCCACTCGAATTCCATATAGCCATGCTTGAAAAAGATATTCTCATCCAGAGTGGACTACACTTCCAACATCGCCTATAACTCAGCACTCCAAGCGTGCTTTGAATCCGGAAAATGCAGCATATAGTCTCGACATCTTAAACACTATGCCTAGGCGAGGTCATAATTACCGTCCAACCTTAAAGAAAATACCTCTTGGAAAACCAGGCTATGTGAAATAATATAGGAACGTCAAGCCTTGTGGAAAAAAATTCTACTACCATTTCTTTTTAAACAAATACGAAAAACGATAGAAACGCACCTTGTCCTGAGTCCATTGTATGCATAATTATTTCCAGAGTCGGACCGTGGACGTGGTCATTCCCAGACGTTTCGCCGGCATCGTCAGTGAGTTTCACCATTCTG